GAACAACTTACACAACAATAAAGACTTCACTGGTTTCTCTATGTCTAGAAGGGGCCCTCAAATCAATCACATTGCATTTGCAGATGATCTTATTCTTTTTTGTAGTGGAAGGAAGAGAACAATCAAGCTAGTGATGAATACCTTGACCGCCTATGAAGCTGCATCTGGCCAATTAGTAAATAAGACTAAGAGTTATTTCATAACGACACCTGGTACTTTAGATAGTGCAACAAAATTGCGCAATATACTGGAATGCAATAACAAAGCTTTCCAATCAAATATTTAGGTTGCCCTTCGTTTGTTGGAAGACAACAGATTGCATATTACTCATAGATGATCATTAACGTAACTAGCATAATAAGAGGCTGGCACTATAGGTTATTGTCTCTAGGGGGTAAAGCTATTTTAATCAAACATATTCTTCTCGCCCTCCTTGTGCACCTAATTTCAGCCTTACAACCACCTAAGGGTGTTCTGGTTCAAATAGAGAAACTACTAGCAATTTGTTTTGGAGTTCTACAGATGGCACATGTAGACACTATTGGGCCTCATGGTCTAATTTATGTTATCCATATGCGTAAGGGGGTGCGAACTTCAGGAGTTCACAAGATATATGTAAATCACTCTCATCTAGGGGTGGGCGTCGGTCGGTTTGGTCGGTTAGTATGAAAGTACGGTTCGGTTTATCGATTTTCGATTTTATAATATTAATAACCAAATCAAACCAAAGTATTTACGGTTCGGTGCGGTTTTTTCAAGGTTCGGTTCGGTTATTTCCGGTTTAGTTTTTCGGTTATTAACGGTTCAAGATTTTTATATCCGATGTAGACTACGGATCTTTAATTGTAGTAAATTCTTTCACTGTTTCTAGTTGGCAGTCCGACACTCTCGAAACACCAGTTATACCACTAGATTTTAAGCCTTGGCAATGCATGAAAAAGAACAGAAAAAATATTGCAGAAAAGACTGCAAAATCTCGAACAGTAGAGCATTCTGCAAATGCAGCTTCCCATTTCAAAGAACCAAAGACTAACACCTAATTTGAGCATTTGGGCTTAGTAAGACTAATAGGCTAATAGGCTAAGGTACATATGGGCTTGGCTAACTTGAGCTTTAGATGGGTATGGGTAGCGTAAGTCTGTAGGCCAGAAATTTTGGGTATGAGTCCAAAATTTCAGTTTTTCGGTTTAACCGAAAACCGTAAACCGCACCGAAAAATCGAAATTTAATATTTTTAAAACCGCACACCGACCGAATAACCGTTTAAACCGAAACCGAGAAATCAAAATTCACGGTTCGGTCGGTTTTTTCGGTTCGACCGGTATTATGCCCACCCCTACTCTCATCCAAGATATGGTGGAATCTAAAAACGGGCAAATCATTGTGGAGAGACTTTATGCTAGCCAAATACGGCAGAAAGTACCACCCTGTAGCCAAACAATCTAGCACGAGGGCATTACATAGTTCGAAACAGATGTGCAAGATCAAACATAAAGTAGAGGAGCACATAATATGGTTCGTGGGAAATGGAAAAGTATCGTTTTGGTATGATAATTGGACTTCACTAGGACCATTTTTCAAGTATCTGGGAGATGAAGCGAGACCCAAAGACATAAAGTTGAGGGACATCTTCATAAATGGTAAATGGAATGAGGACAACACTAGATTGATTTGGCCAGAATCCTTAAAGAATGTCGTGCAAAATATAGATTTGGTCCTATGCTCTGACAAGCGGGACCAACCAATATGGGTACCATGTAGCATAGGTACCTTCACTATGTCATCAACATGGAACATATTTAGACAGAGAATGGGACCTTCTACTACGAATATTAGGATTTTGCATAAGTCGGTCCCTTTTAAAATGGCCTTTCTCACATGTAGAGCAATTCATGATAAACTATCTACAGATGAGAGAATCCAGGATGGGTATCTCTTTGGTGGCAAGATGTTACTGTTGCAGATCACCAACCCCTGAAACGACTGAGTATTTATTTTGCACATGAGCTTTTACAAAAATGGTATGGTCAAATATTTGTGCTCCATTTGGTATTTCTTGTGTAATGACCCGACCGGCCGATTTGAGAGTAGTATACCTGAACCCATATTTATTACTATCTCTACTTCATTTTGTGGTTATGTAACTTACCGGGAGGATTTGTCTTTGGATTCAGAGTGAAATGGGACACATAGTCCCTAAGAAGGGAGTCTAAGTCGTAGGATTTGACCGTAGTTTGAACTATGTGAAGACGACTCCAGAATAGAGTTTTGATAATTTCAATAGCTCCGTAGGTTGATTTTGGTCTTAGGATCGTGTTCGGATGTTGAATTGGAGGTCCATAGGTCATTTTAGCGCCAATTGGCGAAAGTTGGAAAATTGGATGATTTTTTAGGAAGTTTGACCGGGAGTGGACTTTTTGATATCGGAGTTGGATTCTAATTTCGAAAGTTGGAGTAGGTCCATAATGTCAATTATGACTTGTGTGCAAAATTTGAGGTTAATCGGACTTGATTTGATAGGTTTCGGCGTCGGATGTAGAAGTTTGAAGTTTTAAAGTTCATTAGGCTTGAATCAATGTGCAATTCATATTTTTAGCACCGTTTGATGTGATTTAAAGGCTAAACTAAGTTTGTATAATGTATTAGGACTTGTTGGAAAGTTTGGTGGAGGTCCCCGAGGCCTCAAGTAGATTCCGGATGGTTAACAGATCAAATTTGGACTTGTGAGAATGGGTGAAGGCACCAGTTCTGGTGTAATCGCACATGCGCAAGATTGGCCGTAGGTGCGAGCCCGCAGAAGCAAGCAATTGGATGCAGATGCGGGGCTGGGGGACTTGTCCAATGGTCGGAGATGCGACGTGAAGACCGCAGGAGCGGAGACGCTTCTGCGGAGGAATGAGCGCAGAAGCGGAAAGGCCTGGGAGGCCTGTTGGTCGCAGAAGCTGACTTGGTCCGCATGAGCGGGTGCGCAGAAGCGCTCCTTGGCCGCAGAAGCGGAAGCGCAGATGTGCGTTTGGGTCGGCAGAAACGGACGTGCCCGGACTAAATTAGAACCGCACCTACGATGGAAATTTCGCAGGTGCGAAGTCACAAATGTGGTTGTGGACTCGCAGAAGCGATTTCGCTGGGCAAAAAAGGGGCAATTCCGAGGGTTTATTTCATTCTTCATTTTGGACATTTTGAACTCGGTCTAGGGCAATTTTGGAGAGAACTTTCGTGGGATTTCTTGAGGTAAGCCGCTTGTGAACATTTTTATTCAATATTCTTGTTTCCCCATTGATTGTCCCACATAGTTAGTGTGTATTTAAGGTGGAAATTGGGAGTTTGAGACTAAGAATTTGGAGAGTTTGATTTGAGGAATTGAGTGGCGATTTGGCGTCAGATTTTGGTGATTTTGGTGTGGGTGAACTCGTGGTCGAGTGGGCATTCGTATTTTGTGACTTTTACCTGATTCCGAGTTGTGGGCCCGAGTAGACCTTTTGGGTCGAATTTTTGATTCTTTTCTAAAGTCATAATTTCATTATTTAAATTAGTTTCTTGTAGTTGTATTCATGATATGTAATTGCTTTTTGCTAGATTTGGGCTATTCAGAGTCGGAAAATCGAGGTAAAGGCATCCTTATCGATTGATTGAGAGAGATTTGAGGTAAGTGACTTGTCTAACTTTGTGTGGAGGAAATCCCCTTAGGATTTGGTACTGTTGTAACACTTTGTGATATGTGAGCGTCGTGTACGTACCCGTGTTAATTATGGAAATTTCGGTTCTTGTTGAGTTGTCTTCTTTTAAATTCCTTGATTGAGTTACCTTAGCATATGTAGTGATCATGTTTAGCCTAGTATCGCATTTCTACGTGTCATAACCCTTACTTGCAAATTTGTGCAACATGCTTAGTTGAATTATCTGCTTCCCTTGATTTAAATTAAAACTTTAACTGTAAGTTTTTTTGCCATAAATTCATTATTCCTTCATTTATCTACTGCATATTTACTTTGGGGCTACGAGGCAGTTCCTCGGGAGATCGCCCTGTACTGCATATTTACTTTGGGACTACGAGGCATTTACTTGGGAGATCCCCTTATACTGCATATTTACTTTGGGACTACGAGGCGGTTACTCAGGAGATCCCTCCTGTCGTGCATATTTATATTTAGGACTACGAGGCGGTACCTCAGGAGTGCCCCTGTTGTTTACTTATATTTATTGTGCTGATATTTTCTGGAACTTCTTATTGTTTAAAATCTCAGTTATTTCAAAATATTATTATATCTTCTGCCTTACTTTCTTTTAAAACCAGTAGGGCCCTTACCTGACCTCGTCAGTACTCTACCGAGGTTAGGCTTGGCACTTACTGGGTGCCGTTGTGGTGTACTCATACTACACTTCTGCATATCTTTTTATGCAGATCCAGGTTTTTCCCACCAAACCAGATACCAGTGAGTTGGACCGCATGTGGAGACTTCAAGGTATATCTGCCAGCGTCTGCAGACCTCGGAGTCCCCCTCTATCCTTACTATGTTATTTTTCCTTATTTTCTTTAGACTCTGATGTATAAAGACACCTAATATTTGCTCTTAGAAGCTTGTGACTTGTTTTCACCGGGTTTTGGGAGTTGTAAATTATGTATTTGCAGTTTTATATTTATAAATCATTTGTTGAGATTAGAGTTCAATTTATTATTCATTTATTCCGCAAATTATTAGACTTACCTAGTCTTAGAGACTAGGTGCCATCACGACATTCTATGGAGGAAAATTGGGGTCGTGACATCTTGCTGGGATACTCACTTGTTACAACTACTACATTCCTGGTGGAACCTCAGAATTATGAATATAGTAGCTTCTTTTATGGCCAAGGTATTGTCGCAAATAATTATGTGGGAGTTGTAGAGGTCAAGGTGTGCCAACATATACGGCTCTGAGCTCCCTTTTATCCAAAGATTTATGTCTCTGATAACTTTCAATCTATCATGCTTAGTTCAACAGAAATTCGCACAGTTATAGATGGAAACAACATGGGAAAAGATGCAACGCATTATTGACCAACCTATTACTCACAGAATGTGCAAAGTGGTGAAGTGGTCCAGACCCCCTCCTTTCTACTATAAGCTTAACAGTGATGGAAGTTGTGTGGAAGGGGCTTATGGACCTGGTGGAGTAATTAGAGATTGCAATGAAACACTTGTCATGGCGTACTCAATGTACTTAGGTCAAGGGATGAGCAATCGGGCAGAAGGACATGCCATGCTCTTGGGACTGCAGTATTGTATATCTAGAGGATTGGATAAAACAATAGTGGAAGCTGACTCAAAGGTGTTAGTTTCTGTTGTCAATGAAGAATCAAGCACACTATGGAGGCTGCTGCAAATTGTGGATAAAATCAAGTAGATTGTAAGTAAACAAAGGAGCAGCAGTAAAGCACTACTGCAGAGAAACGAATAAAGTCACACACAAACTAGCATCAATAAGTCATCTTCACAAGCAGAACATTGTATTTTCGGACTTTACTGGATTGCCGAGACAAATCAGAGGGTTGCACCAACTGGATAGATGGGAAATGGCGTCCTTCCGAATCAGTCAAATGAAAGCTTCAAAGATATATTTTGAACTACCTTAAGGTGGTCTGTTAGATAGTAGTCTGTGTAAGAGGTTGGTTCTATTTTTCTGCACTTTGTATTAACTAGTAACAGAGTTTGTGCACCAAGCTCACAAAGGTTATGAGGGTCAGGTGAATCTCGTGAATAAAAGTTTTGGTTAGTTAAAAGTGAAAAAAAAACAACGTTGAAAAAGAGGATTAATAAAATTTCAAAAGAAAGAAAAATACATCTATTCTTTCTTTTGGGCAATTGTTATGAAGATAACACCAATTACTAATCACAATCCAGGCAACCCTGTACTATGTGTAGATTATAAGGATTTAAAAAAGGCATGCCCTAATGACTCTCTCATGTTGCCAAACATTGATCAAATGATTGATGATACGGCCGTACATGAGTTAATAAGTTTTCTTGATGCTTATTCCGGGTATAATCAAATCAGGATGGACACTAAAGATCAAGAGAAGACTTCTTTCATCACAAATTTTGGCACATATTGCTACAATGTGATGCATTTTGGGCTTAAAAATCCCGGAGCCACTTATCAACGGCTTGTTAATAAGATGTTTGAAAAATAAATAGGTAAAACAATAGAAGTTTATATTGACGACATGTTAGTTAAGTCTCTTAATGCAAGAGATCATGTGAAACATCTCCAAGAGGCATTTGACATTCTAAGAAAGTACAACATGAAGCTCAACCCGGAGAAACATGCCTTCGGAGTAGATTCCGATAAGCTTTTAGGGTTTCTAGTCTCTCAAAGATAAATCGAAGTAAACCTCGATAAACTCAAAGCCATCGAGGACATCCCGAACCAGCTAACAAGTATGAAGGAAGTACAGAGGTTGAACGGTGTATTAGCGGCTCTAAGTAGGTTCAACTTAAGGTCTTCGGAAAAGTACCATCACTTCTTTTCACTTTTAAAAAAGAAGAATGATTTCGTGTGGACTACGGAATGACAACATTCGCTGAAGGACCTAAAAAGGTACTTGTCTAGCCCTCCGTTGTTGTCAAACCCGGGAGAAGGTGAGCAATTGTTGGTCTACTTTGCGGTCTCGGAAGTTGCGGTAAGTGTTGTTTTGATCCGAAAAGAAGAAGGTACATAATTTTCGATTTATTATGTTAGTAAAATATTATTGGAGGCAGAGACATGATATTCTCACCTTGAAAAGCAGGCCTTCGCTCTCTTAGTTGGCGCTCGAAAGCTTAGGCCTAATTTTCAATGTCATCCAATAGCCGTTGTGACAACCTTTCCCTTAAGAAATGTCCTTCATAAAACCTAAGTTGTCGGGTCATTTGACTAAATGGACAGTCGAAGTCAGGGAGTTCAACATTGAATACAAGCCCAAGATTTCAATCAAGTCACAAGTTTTGGGCGACTTTGTGGCCGATTTTAGTCTGGTAGCTGCTAAAGAAGCTGTGTTGATTTTAGTCTGGTTGTTGCTACCGTTTATTTATTGCTTTATTTTCACTTCTTTTGAGCCAAGGATCTTTTGAAAATAGACTCTCTACTTTCATTAGGTAGGGGTAAGGTCTGATTACACTTTACCCTCCCCAAACTCCACTTGTGGGATTTCACTAGGCTTGTTGTTGTTGTTGTTGTTATTATTGTAGTTGCTAAAGATGCAGTGTTGATATCGAGAATGGTATCAGGAGTTTAGACCTTGTTTATGGATGAAGCTTACAATGTAAACGGGTCTGATCTTGGGGTTGTATTGATCACCCCTCTCGGGAAATCCTGAGACATGCCATTACAACAGTGCCATTAACTAACAATGAAGCCTAGTACGAGAATGTGTTTACAGGACTTGAATTAGCTCGCGGGCTAGGCTCCGAGGTCATCGAAGTAAAGTGCGGCTCCTAGCTGGTGGTGATCCAAGTATATGGAATTTTCGATACCAAGGAGGAACGCTTACAACAATACTTGAACAAGGTTCAAGAATTACTGGCCCGATTCAGGGAGTGGTCAATCATCCAAATTCCAAGAGAGGAAAATGTGAAGGCAGACGCATTAGCCAATTTGAGTTCATCCACAAAAATGAAAGGTTATGATTCTAGTGCGGTTGTTCAACTGTTGTATTCGGTGTTGGATATGGACGACTATTGGAAAGCAAATTGCCTGAAGACCTAAAAATATCCCGGGCACTACGGGTTGCACCAGCTGGATAGATGGAAAATGGCGTCCTTTCGAATAAGACAAATTAAAGCTTCAAAGAGATATTTTGAACTGCCTTAAGGTGGTCTGTTAGATAGTAGTCTGTGTAGGAGGTTGGTTTGGTTTTTTTGTACTTTGTATTAACTAGCAACAGAGCTTTTGCACCAAGCTCACAAAGGTTATGAGGGTCAAGTGAATCTCGTGAATAAAAGTTTTGGTTAGTTAAAAGGGAAAAAAAATGTTGAAAAAGAGGATTAACGAAATTTCAAAAGAAAGAAAAATACATCTATACTTTCTTTTGGGAAATTGTTATGAAGATAACACCAATTGCTAATCACAATCAAGGCAACCCTGTACTATGTGTAGATTATAAGGATTTAAAAAAAGGCATGCCCTAATAACTCTTTCCTGTTGCCAATTGATCAAATGATTGATGATACGGCCGGACATGAGTTAATAAGTTTTCTTGATGCTTATTCCGGGTATAATCAAATCAGGATGGACCCGAAAGATCAAAAGAAGACTTCTTTCATCACAAATTTTGGCACATATTGCTACAATGTGATGTTTTTGGGGCTTAAAATCCCGGAGCCACTTATCAGCGGCTTGTTAATAAGATGTTTGAAAAACAGATAGGTAAGACAATAGAAGTTTATATTGATGACATGTTAGTTAAGTCTCTTAATGAAGGAGATCATGTGAAACATCTCCAAGAGGCATTTTACATTCTAAGAAAGTACAACATGAAGCTCAACCCGGAGAAATGTGTCTTTAGAGTAGGTTCCGATAAGCTTTTAGGGTTTCTAGTCTCTCAAAGAGAAATCGAAGTAAACCTCGATAAAATAAAATCCATCGAGGACATCCTGAACCAGCTTACAAGTATGAAGGAAGTACAGAGGTTGAACAGTGTATTAGCGGCTCTAAGCAGGTTCAGCTTAAGGTCTTCGGAAAAGTTCCATCACTTCTTTTCACTTTTGAAAAAGAAGAATGATTTCGTATGGACTCCGAAATGACTACATGCACTGAAGGTCCTAAAAAGGTACCTGTCTAGCCCTCCGTTGTTGTCAAAATTGGGAGAAGGTGAGCAACTGTTGGTCTACTTGGCGGTCTCGAAAGTTGCGGTAAGATTTGTTTTGGTCCGAAAAGAAGAAGGTACGCAATTTTCCGTTTATTATGTTAGTAAAATATTATCGGGGGCGGAGACATGATATTCGCACCTTGAAAAGCTGGCCTTCGCTCTCGTAGTTGGCTCTCGAAAGCTTAGGCGTTATTTTCAATGTCATCCAATAGCCGTTGTGACAACCTTTCTCTTAAGAAATGTCATTCATAAAACCTAAGTTGTTGTGTCATTTGGCTAAATGGACAGTCGAAGTCAGAGAATTCAACTTTGAATACAAGCCTAAGACTTCGATCAAGTCACAAGTTTTGGCCGACTTTGTGGCCGATTTTAGTCCGGTAGCTGCTAAAGAAGTTGTGTTGATTTTAGTCTGGTTGTTGCTACCGTCTATTTATTACTTTATTTTCACTTCTTTTGAGCCGAGGGACTTTTGAAAGCAGCCTCTCTACTTTCATTAGGTAGGGGTAAGGTCTGCATACACTTTACCCTCCCGAAACCCTACTTGTGGGATTTCACTCGGCTTGTTGTTGTTGTTGTAGTTGCTAAAGAAGCAGTGTTGATATCGAGAATGGTATCGGGAGCTTGGACCTTGTTTATGGATGAAACTTACAACGTAAAAGGGTATGATCTCGGGGTAGTATTGATCACCCCTCTGGGGAAACCCTGAGACATACCATTAGAATAGTGCCATTAACTAACAATGAAGCCGAGTACAAGAATTTGGTAGCAGGACTTGAATTAGCTCGGGGGCTAGGCTCCGAGGTCATCGAAGTAAAGTGCGGCTCCCAGCTGGTGGTGAGGCAAGTATATGAAATTTTTGATACCAAGGAGGAACGCTTGCAACAATACTTGAAAAAGGTTCAAGAATTACTGGCCCGATTCAGGGAGTGGTCAATCATCCAAATTCCAAGAGAGGAAAATATGGAGGCAGACGCATTAGCCAATTTGAGTTCATCCACAAAAATAAAAGGTTATGATTCTGGTGAGGTTGTTCAACTGTTGTATTCGGTGTTGGATGTGGACAGCTACTGGGAAGCAAATTGCCTGAAGACCTAAAAATATCCCGGGCACTACGGGTTGCACCAGTTGGATAGATGGGAAATGGCGTCCTTTCGAATGAGACAAATGAAAGCTTCAAAGATATATTTTGAACTACCTTAAGGTGGTCTATTAGATAGTAGTCTGTGTAGAAGGTTGGTTCTGTTTTTCTGCACTTTGTATTAACTAGCAACAGAGCTTGTGCACCAAGCTCACAAAGGTTATGAGGGTGAGGTGAATCTCGTGAATAAAAGTTTTGGTTAGTTAAAAGAGAAAAAAACAACGTTGAAAAAGAGGATTAATGAAATTTCAAAAGAAAGAAAAATACATCTATACTTTCTTTTGGGCAATTGTTATGAAGATAACACCAATTGCTAATCACAATCCGGGCAACCCTGTACTTTAGTTTAGTAAGACAGTCAGTGAGTTTTTTCACAAAATGCTTAATACATAGTTTACCGTATATATTGTCCCATGTACG